TAAATAGAGAATAATACAATTAAAAATAAAAACAATTTTCTTTTTAATCACTAATAAAAACACAAATAATCAATAATTTTGACAAATGAAAATTAAAAGATTTACTAATTTAGAAGTCATTTTCAATGTATAAAGAAAGAAGTGATTAATTAAATGGACAAGTAAATGACATTGTTACCCCTGGGTTTTAGGAGAAAGGGCTAAACTGGTTTTGGGATTCATACGCAAGGGTTATTCGAACAGTCTGCAATTGCCGCTGCCATCGATTCGTCAACTCAAAACTCAAGGTCAGTCACTCCAAAATAGTTTGGGTTTATCAAATCCAATATTCATCTTTTCTTCTCAATTTTGGGTATTCATGGAGGTTTCTTCAAACTTTGATTTGTCATTTTGCGGATTCTGTGTTTCATTTTGCGGAGGTTATTCAGTGTTTCATTTCGACCACCGGTTATTGAAGTGGTGGACACTGCATTGTCAGTCCTTGCCGTACAATCTGTAGCTTAGGAACTACGGATAATGAGCCCTAGCGGTAATCTATGCTTCTTTATTTGAGCTGGACCTATTCAAAATTAATAGGGAAGTGCACATATAACTGATTTCAGGACCCTTAAACTTCTGATGTTAGGTTATGGGTAAAGTTCCAACTTTAGACATGTTTGAAATTACATAGCTTTTTTCGTCTCAAGTTTGGACTTAATTATGCTTGATGGGAAATGTTTGTGTTTAACTTAGACATATTTGATCAAATGGATATCAGTTGGAGATAACTTTTGGTTAAGCTTGCTTTAATATACTTCTGTTCATTAAGATTGGTGTTTCTCATCATCATTAGTAATAAGTTATATAGATATATGTGGTGAACACCCATGATACATGTTATTAGTAAAGATACCTGTTGAAATGATTCATGTTCCTTTATGTTAATTTGCATGGATTCTTTTTGTTTTACTCTTTTGGCCTTTCCTTTGTTCATTGTCTACAACATCTTCTCACCTAGGAATACATACTCTTATTATTTTACGAGGTAAAGTGACTGCCTTTTACTAGGACATTTGATTCTTCTCTCTTGCAGCTAGGGACAAAGAGCTCAGTGGGTGTTTGAACACCCATGGCCTTTAAATTGTGGGTCTGCTGTTGTCATCCTAATTTATTACTTTTGAATGTTTGGCAGGGAAGCTTCCCTTTGTACGCCACTTGAATTTGAATTACTCAAACTAACAGGGAAACATCAAAGTGGATTTAGGATATTGTTAGACTATATTTATAGTAGTTCAAATTAGTGGCCTTCTGGATACATAATAGAAAACCATTCACATTAATTACCTCCATTATAGATGATGAAAGATTGTCTTTTAGGGCAAAAGAGAAAAAGCCTCCATCTCCGGTTCTAATGTTGTCTTTCTTCTTCTTTAGCGGATGTGACGTGATTACAAGTAGAATTGGAAAGATTGAGCTAGCCTAAAGAGAAAATGAATTGAGATCCGCTCTTGAACAACTTTGCCTATTGATATTGAAAACACTGATTGAGAAAAGAGGGAGAAGTTTGTATTGATTGACTTTCTGAATGATTACAATCAACAGGAACTAACACATATATGAAATCTGCGTAATAGAAAAGAATAAGAAAACAACTTCCAGAAAACAGTTATAACTAACTCTAAGTGTTTTAACAACCTAACGGCCGGACCTCTCACGTGCAGCTCACGTGAGGTTTATAACAACAACTAGCTAACTTCTTCTACAAAATCCAAATTGAGAAAGACACATTAGGATCATATCAACTACCCGCCTTGTACTCAAGGATTGAAGTGAGGGAACTGTTGCCTGAAAGAGGGATAGTCCTCCCAAGTACTGTCCTTATCAGCAGTACTAAACCATTGATCAGAAGCTGAGTAGTAGCCTTTTCATGCTTCTGGATCAATCTTCTATCCAACACTACTTCAAGCTCCGAAAGGACAGGACCAACTTCAGTTTGAACAACATGCAGGGTCACAAAAGCAATATGAGATCCTAACTTTCTTTTCAACTGGGAAATGTGAAAATTGGGGTGGATCTTGGAGGCAATAGGCAACTCTTAAGTGTAACCAATAGCTCCGACCTTGGCTAAGATCTTAAAAGGTCCAAAGGACATTGCTAAAAGCTTGTGATAAGCATGAGACCTCAAGGATAATAGCCCGTAAGATTGAAATTTGACGTAGACCTAATCACCAACACTACAGGATCTGTCAGTCCTCCCCTTTATCAGCCAACAACTTCATTTTACTCTAGGATCTCTCAAGGTGGAACTTAATGGTCCTCAATGTGGCTTCTCTTGTCTGCTACCTCCTATCAACCAAATCCAGTTAGGAATCAACATGTCAGGAAGCAATGAGGGTGGCTGTTGGCCATAAACTGCTTCATAGAAGGGCATATGCATAGAGGAGTGGTAAGAAGTATTATACCACAATTCATCTAAGGATAACCATCGTGGCCACTCCTTAGGCATCTCAAAGGTCATGCACCTCAGAAAACATTTAAGCATCTATTGACCGCCTCAGTTTGATCATATTGGCATCAGTCGGAAATAATTGGTTAAGCTTGCATTTATATACTTCTGTCATTGTGTCGTCATTAAGATTGGTGTTTCTCATGATCATTAGTGATAAGTTATAGATATATGTGGTGAGCACCCATGATACAGGTCATTAGTAAAGATACCTGTCAAAATGAATCATGTTCCTTTTCTTAATTCACACGGATTCTTTTTATTTTACCCTTTTGGCCTTTTCTTTGTTCATCGTCTACAACACACCTGACATCTTCTCACCTAAGAATACATGCTTATTTTTTTTTTCACAAGGTAAAGTGACGGCCATTCACTAGGACATTTGGTTCTTCTCTCTTGTAGCTAGGGACGAACCTCCATAGAGCTGAGCGGGTGTTTGAGCACCCATGGCTTTAAATTGTGTGTCTGCTGTTGTTTGCAAGTTACACTTTTTTATGACTTAGATAGGTTGTTGTAGAGAGCATGGCTATAAAAAAGACAAAGGTATTGCAATTGCACAAAAGAAAATACTTTTTGTTTTGTTCTCAACAATAAAAAATAAGTGTATTGTTAATCTCCTCAGGTTTAATGAAACTCCAAATTTTATATTTTTGCTGTCCATTAGACAATTGGTAATATATGTAGGGAGTCTGGACTTAAGCAAATGCTGTATTAGTTTAAGGGAGTTTTTCAGAAACTTATTCTATATGATTGACTTAATGTTTGGGTGTGATTCTGTCGGTAAATTGGCATGTACACTGTGCAGAGGATAACTTCCAGTGTAACATATACAGTGATGCTCTTGTCAACTTGTTACAGTTATGCACTTGTTAACACTAAACACTTATTAGTGTAAGAAGCTTTAGTTGTGCATATTGCATAACATATACAGTTATGCCCCTGTTAACTTGCCTCTAATTCATGGCTGAAACTTTTTGTTTGTGTTCTTTTTTATCCTAAGTGCTCTATATAATCTGGAAGTGGAATTAGAGCTTCCATCTTTTTCTGGTAAAAGCTTCAGTTGTGTGTAATGTTTACAGTTATACACTTGTACAATTGCTTCTCATTCATACCTGAAACTTTTTATTTGTTCTTTTTTATCATACCTGTTCCTGTATAATTAGGAAGTGGAATTAGAGCTTTCATCTTCTTCTTCTTGATATATCTTCTTTTATCTATGAAATAGTTATAGTTGTGCTTAATATATAGTTATATACACTTGTAAACTTGCTTCTCATTCACACCTGAAACTTTTTATTTGTCTTTTTTATTCCAAGTGCTGTCACTACATTGTTTGGAAATGTAACTAGAGTTTCCATATGACCTTATTGTTGGTTTTTGCAGGTTGTTGATTGAGCTTTCAGAAGGATCAGTAGATGGTTACTTTCTAGTCCAGTTCCCTGTGCAGAAGAATTTTGGAAATGAGTTTGATTTCACGATTGAGGCATCATTTGCCTTGTGCACTCTTGAGACAATCTGTTCAATCCAATGTGGCTAACTCCCATTTTGTTACCTCAGCTGTCTTTACTCGACACTTTGGTCAGCCTGCTAGGAAAGAGGAAGAAGAGGAGGAAGAAGTAGAGATTGACCAGAGAAAGCTTCCAGCTGATTATGATCCTGCAAATTTTGATCCTACGGAGCATCGCAGTCCTCCATCGGATAGGGTATGGAGGCTTGTGGATGAAGTTTCGGGACTTACCTTGGTTGAAGTTTCAGAACTGTCTTCCATTCTTATGAAGAAGTTGGGTATGACCGAGCAACCAATGGTTGGGGTTATGAAGGCAGGGGCTGCTGGATTGGCAGCAGCAGCTATGAAGGGACCAGAAGCAGCTAAGGAGGAAAAGAAACCAGAGAAAACTGTTTTTGAACTTAAACTGGAGTCATATGAGCCTGCTCAAAAGATAAAGATAATCAAAGAAGTCCGAAGTTTTACTGATTTGGGACTCAAGGAAGCAAAGGACTTAGTCGAGAAAACTCCAGCTGTTTTCAAGAAGGGAGTGTCAAAGGAAGAAGCAGAACAAATAATTGAGAAAATGAAAGCTGTTGGAGCAAAAGTTGTCATGGAATGACCATGAACAAAATATCTTCACTGATATCAGGTTCATCCAAAAGTATTTTGAAACTAGATTATGCTTCATTCAGCTATGCAGTTTTGTAGTCTGCTTTTCATTCCTTTTCCAAAACCACTCGGTGTGGCTCACGAATAAGTTTGTCCATCGTGTTTAATTGACATGCTTAGAGTTAGCTGAAGATGAACACGACTTAGTTGTAGTCTACTCTTCTTTGATTCTACCGTGGGATTAATGATTCTTTTCTTATGGGTAGTTGATTTGGAAGGTATTGTGTTTGGTTGCATCTAATATACACGAGAGACATGGACTTTTCTCTCTTGTTTCAATATGTTGTTTGCAGAATCCTTATGCTCGACTTTATTCCTTATGAACAGTAGTGATTCTTAAATCATTTGAACTTGCATCTTTTACGAAGGTGAGATTATATTATTTTCTCAATGAGGGCATTTTTATAGTAAACAGAAAAACCAAATTAGATAATTTCTAGAAGAATTCCATTTTCTCTTACATGATGAAAGCATTTTTCTCATATCATCTCCCTCAGATATCTCCTCGTGCCATTAAAGAGAGTTCTGCAATATTACACAAAAACCAATGTTAACTATTATTATATTTTTAAAAATGAAAATATTAAAGATAAAAAAAAAAATGGTCATAAAAGCATTTACTCTCCAACTTCCTTGTTGAATGTTTGTGTAAGTTGCTCAGGATTTTCATTGTAAGCAGCAAGAGAAGACTGGAGGGCTTCTTCAGCTCTCTTTTCCAAATAAGGGTCAAAGTCACCAATGTTGGCATGCAATTTTGGGATTAAAGATGCAAATAACACAACTGAAAAGAGAAATATAACTGAGTAATTACATCTAAGAGAGGCCATTGTTTTCCTTTTTCCTTCACAACAGCTATCTCTCTTCTTTTCTTTATTTTTTAGTAATTATGGTTGCAGAAATGATGTTTTTTTTTATATACAAAAGGATACAATGATAGGGAGTAACTTAAGGGGAACAACGGATAACTAAATAATAAAAAATTGCGGTTGACACCAACGGTTTACCTAATTTATTACTACTTGTGAATGTTTGGCAAGGAAGCTTTTTCGTGAATCTGAATAACTCGAACTAATAGAAAAACAACAAAGAGGATTTAGGATATTGTTAAACTATATTTATAGTTGTTCAAATCAGTGGCCTTCTGGATATATAATAGAAAATCACTTTAATTAATGAGAAAATTTTCAAAACTACAATATTTTAGCATCTAATAAGATTCCTTGTCAACACTTTCAATATTTATTTAAAATGTCAATATTTTGGTTTGTCATAATGCTGATTGGAGAGAATCATAGTAGAAAACATTTCAAAAAAGTAAAAATGTTTCCCTTAGTTTTTTATCCTTACTTGTTTGAACTTTTTTAAATATGATTTTATCTGAAATGTATTCGGATGAACTTCTTTAAATATGATTTTGTATGTCATTATTTTAAAAGGAAAAAATCACACCATATACACATTTAAGAGACAATATTACGGGTTTTAAACATACGTCTTAAAAAATTCTTACTTATAACAGTTTATTTACGGGTTATAACATATCAATTAAATTTAAGTTTATTTAAAAATCAATTAACAATTTAATTTAATAAATAATTAATCTCTTTATATTTTTATATTATTAATTATTAATTTAATTTGATTGCAGTTCCTTTTTTAAAACAGAAATTATCAGTTACACAAATTTAGGAATTTACATTGATTAGAGTTCCTTGATTACCGTTACACTCCAAACCTCCCATACGCTAATCCCAGCCCCCCTGCCACGCCTATCCAATACTACATGCCACCACCCCACTACCCCACAATCATAATCGTCCCTCCCGTCTTTCTCACCACCCCACTACCACACATTCACAATCGTCCCTCCCATCTTTCTCACCACCCCACTACCCCGACTTCACAATCGTCCCTCTCGTTCCGTTTCTCATCATCATCATCATGTTGAAGAAAAAATCATTGTAACGCCTCGAAAGAGTCCTCGATTAGTTGAAGGAACTTCTACGGATGAAGTACATGCTCCAACTTTCAACATATTGACTCAAACCCCGTCGCCAAAAAATGTTGAAACTCCGGCAAAGGGTGGTAAACTGCCACAATGATACCATTTTTTTTACAAGCATGGAATTTTATGGTAAAAGGCTTGATCTGTATGCCAATAAACTCTCCAAATATGTTGACAAGTCTCAATCCGACCCACTTGAAGTCAAGCATATGATGCATGTGCCTTAACAAGAAGATAGTTCCAAGTATGTATTTCTATACTTTACTGATTTCATCAGAAAAGTTAACTTAATTTATTTCTTAAAATGATTTTTCTTTTAATTTTTTTCCGGTGATTGTGGTTTGTACACATGTTTATTTGTTGAATATATCAGTAATGATGTTTTTGATATGCGTTCTGTTGATATCGATGCAAAGTACCATCGTCAAAGGTATGCCACAAGCATATGTCATTATGGAAAAATAAAGAATGAGGATGATGCGATCAGTGAGAGTGAAGTAACTGGTACGGTTGCTAGCAAATTTGGTGGACCTCGCATAGCAAAAGAACATGCTCCGGATACCAGCAATTATCCTACACCAAGACCACTGAAAAGAAATTTGAGATAGTTGATTGTACCTTCTGCTTTTTAGAATTACATGTTCTTTTAACTTTTGGACAATATTTTTGTGTTTCAGTATTTGATGATATATAATATCCACCGTTTTATTCCAGTCAGATACCATCTACATATGAATTACTGATTGACTATTATAATTTCAGGATACTAGTAATATAACAGACTACATACCATTTGGATACACCATTTGGAAGATATATTACACATTGAGTATAACAGTTTTCGGGATGCTAGTTATATACAAACTGCATACCAATTGGATTCAGCATTTAGACTTACTGATATTACTCTGTATTACTAACTAGAAACAAAAAGAGTACCAATTTTTATAGTTCATTAACCAACTTTGTCTTATAATTGATATCCAAACTGTACACTTATGGCATCCAAATTCATTCATGATTGATTTTTTTTACTTCATATTCTAACACAAAAAATAAAAAAAATAAAAAATGAATGAAGTTGGTATCCAACCTGTATAAATACCTTGAAGATATGATTATGCCAATGTATAATAGTGATCATTTGTATTTTGTAACAACCTCAATTACATCTTGTTTTATATTTATTCAAGTTGGACACCTAATGGATACCAAATTATTACTAATTGTAAATTATATTCTCTTAACAAGCATGTATTAAGTACTTTAAAGATGTATGAAATTGGTATACAATTTGTATAAATACTGAAAGAAACGAATATGACAATCTAAAACAACAATCATTAACTTTTGCACCAACATTAATTACATTTTGTTTTATTTTGATTTAGAGTAGGACATCAGTTGTATACCAAATTAATACTCATGTAAACTTACATTAAATAATATCAACTACTATTAGGATACCAAATGCATACCATAATTACCTTATATAATTATCACTAATATGAACACTATCTTATATATTAAACTGGAATGAATTTTATTTCCAGCAGTATGCAATTTGTATGATTAATGAATGAATTTTGTATAAAACATGAACAATATATTAAACACTTAGTTGTAGTGTATTTCATACCAATTCTGTTTCATATCAAAACAAAACATGAGTCTAAAAGACAAAATAAAATTAAAAAAATTATATAGTCTAAACAACAATTACAGAATCCTGATTATCCATTGGTATATTCTTCAAAGTTATGCACAATGGATATTTCGTAAAGAATCTACATTAACTTTCTTTTTATCTAAAAAAATCCGCACACCAACATCATTGTGGATACTAACAAGTGACATCGATCACTAACTACATATTTTATCTCAATATCATTAATATTAACATCTATCATAAGCTGCGATTTTATCACACTTACTAGACCACTATACAGACTAGAAGATTCATAGATAATCCCCGACATCTTAAAATCAACATATTTCTCTGTTTCATTAAAAAAAATATAGTTAGTCTTACATAATACAAAGCAATTATAAATATGTTGTATTTATATTAACTTTTCATACCAAAGATAATACAAATTTAATCCACAACTTCATTCTACTCACACAAAAATTACACACACTCGTCATTACTTATTCATACAAATATCATTCAGACAGTATAACCGAATTCATACCGTAAAACAGATTTCATAAAAAAATAACATTTCACATTTCATACCAACTTAATACACATTCCATACAAATAATCATAGTTCTTACTCATTTTTTTTACACAGTACTGATTATATTTCATACCAATTTCATTCTACTCACACAAAATTACACACAATCGTCATTACTTATTCATACAAATATTATTTCAAACAGTATACAAGAATTCATACCATAAAACACATTATATAAAAAAAACATTTCACATTTCATACCGACTTAATACACTTTTCATAGAAATCATTATACTTCTTACTCATATTTTTTACACAAAAGTAAATACATTTTCATACCAATATCATTCCAGTTACTCTACCAAATTCATTTAAGCTTATACATTTTATTTATATTTTCAGGAAAAAAAATAGTAATCCATATATTAATTTAAATCTGCATACTGAATCCATCTCATTATTATTATCAAATTGACTAAAGAAATTCCAGTTTCATAACAATGTTACAACAAATTTCATAAATTTTTTTCCACAAATTTCATAACTTTACAAAGATAAAACTATTAATATTCTATACATTTATAATCAAATCATTCATATATTAAGCCAATTTCGCACGAAATCATGATATAGTCAGTATACAAAATAACCAAAAAAAAAAACGTACCAACAAAATCATAGAATGTCATTAATTAAAGTTTCACATAAATTAGTATGTATTATGAACTAAATGAATGGTTTATACAAAAAACATCACAACTTAAATATAGTATACATAAATAAAATCACAAAATGTGATTTACAGTTTCATTGCTATTTTTTTTTGTTTTTTACATTTTAGTAATATACAAATACAAACAATAAATCATAAACAATACTAACCTGAAGGATCCCATATTCCACCATGTTTAATTAATATAGATAAGGAGTCGTCCATCACAACAAAATGAAAAAATTTCAAACAAAAAAGAACTGGATTTACTAGTCAATGGCAAGAATTCTGGGGAAAAAAAACGAAGAGAGAGAAACGTTGAAGAAAATGGATAAAGTCAGATTTTTTTATTAATTTTAACAAATTAGAGTGAATTAAGTAAGATAAATATTCCTAATCAGTTTGAATCTCCTTAATTTATGCTAATTAAAAATTATCATCAATCAATTCAAATTTAATTAATACTCCTACTTCCATTTTTTTTTGCTTTTTTTTTTAATCAAAATCATTTTATTTTTCTTTTTTATCTTTTTATCTTTTTCAAAACAGATTTTTACAATTACTTAAAAAATCCTTTTTTTAAAAATAAAATGTTACAACTTGAAATTTTTTAATGTTACAACTTGAAAGTTATATTCTACTACTACAACTTGAAAATATTAGTCTAATATTTGTCATTTATAAAGTTTTCACATTTTAAAATGTAATTGAAATATAAATTGCGAGTGACATACAATAATGACTACATAATGATAAAGTAATACAAATTCGTTGGCATTCAAATTGAGAATGGAATACAAACTGAGCACGATAAATACTCATTTCAATTGAAAAGATAGACCATACAATTCAAAACCTGATTTTGAATAAAATTATTTTTATACTAATGCAATTAGTATAAACTATATTTTGGTTATTTAGAATTGAAAATGAATATAAAATTAAATCTAAATACAAAC